GACACACACATACATATCCAATCACATTTTCTGTGTGGCTTCTACTTGACATAGTATGCGGGGCGGGTTGGTGCGAGCAAGGCCGACGGAAGCGGGCAGCCGCGTGAGCCCAGCAATGGCGTTCGTGGTTGTGTGCGGGATTATATATTCCATCAGATGCTTGACGCCGTTCATGGATCGTCTAAAGTTTTTTTTTTTGCGATGCCCATGCTGCGTCTGTGCTGAGCTGCTCACTGCGTCCCCATGGCCTCATGGAACACGACATGACGTTGCTCGAGGACCTCTTGACACCGAGGCAGCCGATTATGAGTAGCCCTGCGTTGTACTTTTTTGCCGTGGAGGATGCGTCTGTGAGCCGCGTGGTTGAGGATTGGATGGCAAAGGTTCCGTACATGGAAGTACACATCTTTGCGCTCGGGTACACCCCGCATCGCAGTCCTCAGCAACTCCCGCGGGTCCGGATAGCGCCGAGGGCGATGCGTTTGAAGGAAATTATGTTAGGCTTTGCCGCCCCTGAGGTGCTGGTGCTCCACCTCAGCATGCAGAATGGGTTTCCTCTGCTGCTGTCGCCGCTGTCACCTCCGAATTGAGTGTCCGTTGTGGACGTTGCGGCGTCACGTCTTGTGGCGGCTCTTCACGCCATGAACAACAGTGTGTCTGTCATTCGCCACCACAACAGTGGCAGTATCTGCCATGGGCTTGCCAGGCAATACCACGACGAGCCGGATTTCACTTGGGGGCGCCGACAGCTGCGGCAACCCGGTGCGGATCATCGTTGATTGGGGCTGTGTCATGGTGACGCCGCTGATGTGCCAACGCACATGTCAGTGTCTGCTTGATGACCTGATGCCGCTGGAGAATAACTTGTATGAGCAGACCTGTAGGAATCGTCTGGGGGTGGACTCGAAGCGGCAGTAATTGGTGGATGAGGAAGATGTGTACCGGCGCTCGTACCGTCATTGTTTTCTTGCGCAGTGCGTGGAGGAGCTTTCGGTGGCGCTGAAAAAACTCCACGCGTATCACCCGGGATTGGCGCAGGGCGTGGAGCCGAAGGCCAATCTTGCGGAGTTGAGCAGTGCGGTGCGGGCTCCGCCGGAGTTTCGGGAGAGGCAAGCCAGACTGTCGCTGCACATCGATGCTTGCGCGGGGCTTGTGGTACAGTACCGGGAGAAGCGACTGGCGGAGGTGCGGGAGGTGGAACAAGACATCGCCGTTGGGCACCAACCCCTCAGGAAAAACCTGGATGGCGTGCAGCACCTGACGAGGGATACCGCCATGCCCCGGCCAGTGCGTCTGCGACTTCTCCTGTTGCTTGTGGCTGCGAGCAGCACCGACGAGTTGACGGAGGCCAAGAAGCAGCAGCTGATCCGAGACGGTGGACTGACGCCCGACGCCCATTTGTCCGCGAACCTTGAGCATATGACGAGGAGGGCCGGGAGCGTGCAACGATACAGCACGGCGTCGGCGCAGAGCGGACGGAGCACGAGTGCCTCTGCGAGCAACGCCGCGACGGACGAGGATCCGTTTCTGAAGCAGGCCTGCATGCTTATGGAGACGGCGGACAGGAATAGGACGCTGCAGGTTGGGCTGTCGTTGGCATCTATGGAGCGCGATCATGTGATGAGGACAAATGGCGCGAGTGGTGGCCAAAACAGTGGAGAAGCAGGGACAACGCCGGGCCATTTCAAGGGTGTGGTGGCAAAGAGGAGAATCATCCTGATCTGGGTGGTGGCGGTGGTGGAACGATTGCCCTCGCAACTCCTCAGCGCATTCTGCTGATTGTTTTGGGTGGTTTGGCCTGCAGCGAGAGGCGCTCGGTCCATGAGATATCCAAAAGACATGGCCGTGAGGTGGTCATTGGGGAAACCTCGATGCCGCGTCCTGAGATGTGTTTTTGCAGGGACTTGGCACCCCACGGCAGTAGAACTCACGGGCGAGACACGCAAAGGAACGCATCGAGGGCCAAAGAGTGGGAAATGTACAAACACACACGATTGCGGGTGTCCATGGGGATTGTGTGCGCTTCTTTCCGCATTCAATTCCTCTCCAAGAAGTGTTCAATACGATGCGCGTGTGTGTGTTTCAACGGCCGCGCTGCTCGCCTTTTTTTTTTTTTGCCTGCGTGTGCGGTTGCGGACCATTTCTCTGCCACGAAGAATGCGGTTAAAAAAGGAAGGACATTTGTGGAGCATGTACCCACGGCTTCAGTGTTCATCCACTGATGCTGACCTTTCTTGCCGGGGCATTTGTGCACGCTTTTCCACCAATGTCTATTTTTTTTTTTTTGGCAGAGGAGGCAACGGGTGGGCATTCGTGAGTGCTGCGGCGGGCTGTTGTTGCCCTCGACGGGACGCGCTTAACGGTGACAGCTCCATGACTTTGTGCACAAAAGGAATGGGAATTTCTCCGGATTCTCACCGCAGGCGCATGCCGTGGATGGTCGAAAAGGAGTGTGTGCCCGGTGTTGTTCATAGCTCCAAGGAAAATATGGTGTTGGATGGCGCACAACCAGTGGATGTGGATTGTGTTAACCGTGCATCGCAGGTGGATCCGCTGGAGGCATTGCCGGCGACTGTGAACAAATGCTAGTACAATAAATGCAGAAGAATGAACATTTTTTAATTGGCTTCTCAGGCGGAATCAAATGTACTCAGGCAATGGGTTTACCGCGAGGAGTGGCAGGAGGGGACGCACGACGAGGACGCCACCAGCATCGTCATTCATTTCCGTCGCCGCGAGACCACAACGCAGCCTCATGCGACTACACGCCTTGCGGATTTTCCGAGGTGGCATGCGCTGTTTCGCTTGGCGCCATTGTTCCCCATTCCCGAGCGTCGGTGCAGACTCCCTGTCGATGCAAGTTCCTATCGCTTGCGGGCACACCCATTGATTGATGATGCGGCCGACACCCCAGCCCATTGCTGGTGCTTCTGGCATGACTGCTGCACCGCCCCCAGCAGCTGGTGCAGTGGGACTGGGACGAGAACACAGCGGACCAAGCTCAGTCAGATGGTGCTGGCAGCCCTGTCAGCGTCTCGCCTACCCCAGCGACCCACCCACACCACCGGCGAGCACAGAAATCGACGGGACAGGGAAGGCATTGACGGAGTGTCAGGACACCAGTTGTCTTCCCAAATGACTCCCAGACAAACAGCAGGAACAATTAACGACAACATCATTCACCAACAATGAAAAAGGAACAGCGACCACCGCCGACAGCGACAGCAGCACCGCGGTCTTCTACACCAATTCCCATTTTTTGCATCTTGTTGTTGTTGCGTGTGCGGCTGCTGCTGCGATGGTTGCCGTGACTGCATGAAGTGGTGTGCGCTGAATATGAACGAGGGCCGATGGCAACTGAACTGTTTTTGTGATGAATATTGGCTGCACTTCCCGTGGACCAACAATCCACGTGGTGTGCGGGGATCTCCTTTTTAATTGTTACTTTGCTTTTTTGTTGCTGTGTGCGCTGCACCTCCTCTTGTGTGTGTGCGTACCCTCCGTGAGGGGTGCAGACACGACAAACCGCTCTCTCCGTGTGTACATGCGGTGGAGCGTTGTGTGCCGCTCCTGTTTGCTTCTCCCTCCTCCATCTGTGTGTTTGTGCTGCGGCAGGGCTGTGTGTGTGTGTGTCTGTTGCCGTGGATTGGAGTGTGTGTCGTGCGTGGTGTGCGGCGTACGGTGCATGCCTGGCTGCCGCTCTCTCCTCATGTGGTGTGCCCTCTGTGTGTGTGTCTGCCGCACCTCTCGTCTCCCCTGTTGCTCTCCATGTCCCTCACTGTGCAGATCAGCTCCACACCACTGAACGACCACACTCACGATGACGACGTGCCGTCTGCTGTGCGCCCTGTTGTTGCTCGCCCTGTGCTGCTGCCCGTACGTGTGCATGACGCAGAGTGAGGATAAAGCTGGTAAGGCTGGAAAAGATTCCGGTTCAACAAATTCTAATCCAGAAGGACAAGATCATTTGACGGAATCGCCTGGTAAAACTCCTTCTCCACCAGAGAAAAACGAAGAAGGGAGAGGGACGGAAGATTCACAAAAAATGGAGACTCTTGCGTCACATACAACGGCTACAGTAACCGAAACGCCACAGCCACCAAATACTTCCCATAATACACAGGATCAAGATGATGGGAAACCCACTACTGAAGATGCAGGTATTGATAAGAGCAATATGTCAAATGAACAAAATGAGAAAGAAAATGCACCAACTGCGAAAACAACAACGACAACGACAAAGGCACCAAGTACCACCACCACGACCACGACGACGACCAATACGCCAGAGGCACCAAGTACGACGACTACCCGCGCACCGTCACTTCTGCGCGAAGTCGACGGCAGCCTCAGCAGCTCTGCGTGGGTGTGTGCCCCGCTGCTGCTCGCCGTATCCGCGCTGGCGTACACCACTGTGGGCTGAAGAGGTGTATGCGGGCTGTGCGTGCCAGCACTCAGCCACGGGGATTTGTGTGCGTCCACTGCAGTCCGATGTAAATAAATAAGAGAAAATAATGATTGTGTTTTGCTTCATTTGCTTCCGCTGCCCTGCTGTGTGCTCCGCGTTGCTGCTCCCTGTATCCGTCACGTTGAATACATACCAGACACATCCTTATGCAAAACACGCACACAACTGTTTGCGTGGACCCACTGTTGTGTGCTGGTTCATGCACGCTGGAGCCATTGGGCGCAGCTTCTTGTTTTTTTTTTTTGTTTTTTTTTTTGACTTTTTAAACTTTATTGTTGCTTTTTTACTCGTGTTTTGTTTTTAGTTCTTTTGTGTTTTTTTTTTCTCATTATTTTCTGCGGGCGGTGTGTTCGTGTTTCCCATTTCCACTGGTTTCTACTGCCTCATGGTATGTGCTGCTTCTGGGCTGCTGCCATTTGTCACTGTGCGTCGGTTGTGTGTGGTGTAGCGGACGTGTCTCTCCCTTTTGCTTTCACTCTGCGTTGACGGGGAGTTAGTTTGTGCTGAAGGCTGCACGCAAGTGACAGGAGTGATGGCGATGATGATGAGTGGCCGTGTGCTGCTGGTGTGTGCCCTCTGCGTGCTGTGGTGCGGTGCCGGCGGTGTCTGTACTGACGAGGTGGTACCTGTTGACGAGCCACCTGTTATTTCTGCGAGTGGTGGTTCTGGAGCTGCCGACAAAGACACTGGTCGTACGGTGCCTGGTGGAGCGGAAAACCTTTCTGCACAGCAATCAAAGCTGCAGAAAGTTGGGGATTCGTCACCCGGGATATCGTCATTGGAAGCTGCCTCAGAGATTGAATCAACAAAAGAGCAGACGCAATCCGACCACGAACACAAGGATCCAGTGACACCTTCACAATCATCGGGAGAACAGCGGCAAGATGAACAACATGAAGGTCCACCAGGGAAACCGGGGGCGTCACTCGGTCAAGAGGAGAGGAAGCATGCATTAGATGGAGTTCCAGAGAGAAATGATCCGCCACCTGTTTCAAGTAACAACAATACCGTCAGCAGTAATAGTGAGGAGCGCACAGAAGATACTCCGAGAAGTACTGAAATTATTGTTGCAGCACCGTCAGATGAGGGGCAGGAAGATGAAAACGCCACTCCTTCCTTGGAACAACCTCGGGAAACTTCCACAGCCGCACCGGCCATTACCACTCAAACAAGTTCCACGACACCGACTGACGTTAGTGAGAGCAACACCGTCAAAATGAGTGATGCATCACAACAAACAGCAAAAACAACCACCGCTGCTCAAACAAATCATACGGCGACACCTGGCGACAATGACAGCAGCACCGCGGCCTCCCACACCGCCTCCCCTCTTTTGCTTCTTCTTCTTGTTGCGTGTGCGGCTGCTGCTGCGGTGGTGGCCGCGTGAGAGTGAGGGAGAGAGCCGTGCACCGCCCGCACACACACTCGTCCTTCTCACTCTCTCTGTGTGTGTGTCCCCTTGCATGGACTCTCGCCCTCACCTCACCCCACGAGGCACACACATAATGTGCCCATTGTATATATGCATGCACACCCATGCATGCCTGTTGGTGCTCTCTTTTGCACCACACGCACCGCTGCCGTCCTGCCTGGCTGCATGGGCGGAGCACCGTAACTGTTTTTGTTTTGTTTTTATTGCATTGAGTGGGCGACCTCTCTCTCTCTCTCTCCCTGTGTGTGTGTGTTTTGCTTTACGGGAGCAATGAGAGTGTGTGCGCTGGTCGTCCCACGCTTCGGCTTTTTGTTGCTGTTTTACTTGTGTTGTGGTTGAGTGTACCCATTACCCTTGTTTTTGAATTGGTGGGTTGCTTTGACTGCGAACGCCTAAATTGTCTTTTTGTTTTTTTTCTTTTGAGATATTGTCAGTGTTTCTTATTCTTGTCAAGCCATGAAGTATTTTCTTTTACGTACAGCATGCGTCAGTTGATCCACGTCACCCCACGGTCTGCAGTGCTGCTGGTGCTTCTGTTTGTGATGAGGTTTGTGTTGTGCTGGCAGGTGCTTTGCTGCCAGCCTGACGTACTCCTGCTCCTCTGACAAAGCGGTGCGTGCCCACAGGGCGAAGTCGATCCCGGCTGTGGTGAGGGACGTGCCTTTTGGATCTGAGGGTGCGTCGCAGACATGCAGCGTCATTGGGAGGAATGGATGGGCGCCCACCCGCATCAATGTGTCGACAAGGGACCTGGATGGTACCAGGAAGTATTGCAGCTCAGAGCGGTAGTACGCAATGAATTCATTGGTGGCAATTGCGAGTGTGAAGGTGACGTTTTTCTATGCTGAGAAAAGGGAAATATTTGTTTCGTTATACTTTGCTGCCACTGTTCGTTAATTGCCTGCGGGCTGTCCGTAGCGATGTGGCCAGTTTTTCCGTCTTGAAAGGTGCTGTCGTGCGAGAGGGTGTGTTTCCAAATAGTCGGATGCTCAGTTTTCGAGGACGGCGGCATTCCCACAGCGTGTGCGGCAGGGCTCCCGTGGATTGTCGGGGGCTCAGCGGCTGGTCGGGGTTGCAGTAGCGGAGGAGTGGCTGAAGGGCTACGGCTGTCATTGGAGCTTGCAGAGGTGCGTTGTCCGTTTTTTGCTCGTTGATACGCTTGACATTTTCGGTATTGACCTGCGCGTGAGGCACTTGTTGGGAAGACCGTGGAGCTGTCGCAGAATCCACATGTGAGGCCTTCTGCAACGATTGGAGTGCCAGGGTTAGTGCGTCGGGCGTGTGCCTTCATATTGTGGACGGACGAGAAGACGCTGCTGCAGCTTGGGCAGGGCGACGTTGATCTGCTGCTCGTCATTCTACGAGGAGGTGCCGTGGACACGCCAGGTGGAGGTTCCGGAGGAGGTCGGGGCGGTCCTGCCTCTTCAGTGTGGGAGGAGCAGCACCACCGAGATAAAGGGTTGCTTGTAATCTGCAGGGCGCGTGCCGGTCTGTCGAAGAGTGGGCAGGAGGACGTCCATCAGCCGCTTGCTGGTCGGCAAGGAGTGGCGGTGCTCACGTCGGGAAGAGGTTCCGGCGGAGGCAGAGCACAGACGCGGTCCCAACAGTACCGCAGCACAGCCGATCCCAGAGGGCAGGGACGTAGCGCTGCCATGCCTCGGAGCATCACAGGCCTTGGCTCGAGAGGGCACCAAGCTGTTTCGCACGGACCAATAGCAGCATGGAGAAGCCACGGCAGAGGGCATGATTGCGGTCCTCCCGTTTGCGGAGTAATTCATCTCGGGGCAGGCTGCCGCTGCAACACACTCGGCCTGCTCCATTCCGTCCGTCCAGATACATGTGGGACTGTCACGGCTACCGCTCGTACGGTGCCTCGGTGCATCTCCAACCATGCGGTCACAGTGGCCAGAGGCGTTGCACACGCCGAGGTGGAAGCATCACAGTCAGCTTCACGCAGGGAAATGGCGACATGTTTCCGTCGTGGCAGCATGCCTGCCTGTCGCGGGATGCCGTCCTCCGTCCCTGCAGCGTGGGATGGCAGATGGTGGTCCGAGTCCATGTAAACGGGTGGACGTCCAGTGGGAGACACGCAGTACGCGTTGTGCAGTCACGTCGGGAAACGAGACGCTGCGGCCGCTGTTCCACGTTGCCTGTGCCGGGTCGTCGGACAGCTCAGAGTCCATGCCGCTTGGGGTGGCGGCGAGGTCCTCTCCTGCCGTCATGGACGGTGAGCAACCGTCCCGCGGCTCATGGTGTGAATTCAGGTCGCAAATAACCGCTGCGGGGCCTAAGCGACGAATGTTGCCCGCAAAGTGAGCAGCGTGAGCCATTGCCATGGAAAGGCTGCGGAACTCCACCACTTAAATGCTGGGGCTGGGCGGTGGGCACACGCGGAAGGCGGTGGTCTCCAGGCAGTTGGTGCCACGAGCGACAGGCGCTCGCACGGCAAGGTGTGGCGCACCAAGAAGGCCACGCCACCGGCACGCCCACTGCAGGCCTGGCGGAAGACACCGCAGCCAATGAGCCGCGTCGCTGGGGCTCACTGGTGCCTGCACTCCTGCAGAAGAACCATGCCGAGATGGTGCTGCGCCAGTCGAGCAGCAAGGGCAATCCTGAGGGGCAAAGGGCCTGAAGTGCTGAGCTGCCAGACAACTACGAGGCCATCCTCATCGGGCTGCGGCTCTTGCGGACACCACCGCAGCGGATGGTGCCGACGGAGTGACCGCAATGAAACGACTGTGCGGTTCTGTCAGTCGAGCTGCAGGCAAACCGCCTCGCCGCTCCACAACCGACAGAGCGTGGGATCTTCTCGAGGGGTGACGCCGTCGTGGTCCCCATCACGGTCGCAGCAATGGCCTGCTGCAAACACTCCCACAGAGAGACAAGGAGAGTGTGTGGAAGAGTGTGCCGAGAACACAGCGACTGCCATCGTGGCACCGTCCGTCACGCGTCAGCACACACCTAGCAACACAAACACACAAAACAGCAGGCGGGATGCAAGAGAACACGACAGTCCTTTTCAAAGCCCACGCGCTGCCGCAATCGTGTTACTGTTCTCCCTTCCGGCGCGCCCTCCAACCCCTATCGCTCCGCACAGCCGACGAATCCCCATCTGCCGATGGACAGCAAAAGAGACACATCGGCACGTGCAGCCGCTGGGCGGAGATCAATCCGTAGTTATACCAGTCACCGTCAATGACAAATCAAATCAGTCAACTGCTGCACGCCGCCAACATCCCACCCCCAGTATGTCAATGGAATAATTCGCGTGCACAGGCCTTCCCTCCTCGCGAGGGCCACCGCAGCCAGAATCATCTGCATGTGTGCATCCGTTCTCAGCATTCACGCCGCTCCACAACGTGTGCAACATGGCATGTGTGTGCATGTGCTTGTGTGTTTGGCAGCGCCTATAATTGCAGAGCAGCTATGCCGCACAAGAGAGTCCAAAGAAAGCGAGGCCAGAGAGATGCAGATGGCACACACGCAAATTACTCAAGCCATCACACACAAACACACACACGCAGCCCGCGGAATGGGTGCTCTCAACCACAACACAAGTAAAACAATAAAAAAAGAGTAAAACAATAAAAAAAAAGCCGAAGCGTGGGACGACCAGTGCACACACTCTCATTGCTCCCGTAAAGCAAAACACACACACAGGGAGAGAGAGAGAGGTCGCCCACTCAATGCAATAAAAACAAAACAAAAACAGTTACGGTGCTCCGCCCATGCAGCCAGGCAGGACGGCAGCGGTGCGTGTGGTGCAAAAGAGAGCACCAACGGGCATGCATGGGTGTGCATTCATATATACAATGGGCACATTATGTGTGTGCTTCGTGGAATGAGGTGAGGGCGAGAGTCCATGCAAGGGGACACACACAGAGAGTGAGTGAAAGACGAGTGTGTGTGCGGGCGGTGCACGGCTCTCTCTCCCTCACTCTCACGCGGCCACCACCGCAGCAGCAGCCGCACACGCAACAAGAAGAAGAAGCAAAAGAGGGGAGGTGGTGTGGGAGGCCGCGGTGCTGCCGTCGCTGTCGGTAGTCTTCGTGTCATTTTCCACAGCGGCGGTTTCGACTGCTTTTTCCTTCGTATTGCCGTGCTCCTTTTCATCTTCTTTTCCTTCTCCTCTCCCTGCATCATCGGATTCCGGTGCATTCTTCGGCGTCCCCTCATTACTGGTGGTACTGCTGACAGCTGAATGTGGTGGTGGCCCTTGCGGTGTTGGGGGTTCGACGGGCTCCTCTGGAATGGTAGCGTAATACGTACAAATAAACTCAACGTCACGGTCATGAGTTACACCCGACTTTTTATCATAAAAAGCGTCACAAACCCCCTTCATCACTTTGTGAATACAGATCCTCTCAGCCGTCACATTCAGCTTCCCTCCTGTCGTGCTTTCATTCGCGCATTCTTCCCGAATCAGAAAATACCAATTCAAGATCAAATTCTCCTCATCCGTTCTTTTACTGGCAACAACACCGGCAGGAGCTTCCACCACCTCATTGGCAAAACCACCGCCGACACCGCACCACAGCACGCAGAGGGCACACACCAGCAGCACACGGCCAGTCATCATCATCGCCATCACTCCTGTCACTTGCGTGTAGACTTCAGCACAAACTAACACCCCGTCAACGCAGAGTGAAAGGGAAAGGAGAGAGACAAGTCACACAGCCACGCCACCAAACAGTGACAACAATAGCATCTCAGCAATACCATAAGGCAGCTGGAATTAGTAAAAAGGCAAAAACGCACACTACCCTGCAAACCAGAAGCGGGAAAGTAAAAAAGCACAACAACAGAGTTGAGAGTCCGGGAAGACTCTCAAAAAGTAAAAAATAAAAAAACGATCAGGCACGACTTTCGTTTCATGTGCCAAGCAGCATAAAACGACCGTGCGTTGTTGTGGATACATAACTGTTTCACAAGAAAAATAATAAAATAGTAAACAA